GAATGGCGTGAACCCGGGAGGTGGAGCTTGCAGTGAGCCGAGATCGCGCCACTGCACTCCAGCCTGGGCGACAGAGCAAGACTCCGTCTTAAAAAAAAAAAAAAGAAAAAGAAAAATGGTCAACTCTGAATTTTGTAATGAATGACAGTATCATTTGAATTTTAAAAGCTAATAATTTGTTGCCAAAAATAGACAAGAAATGCTAACAGAAATTTGTCAAGATGAAGGGAAAGAATACCTGGTGAAACATTGAAACTTGAGACAGGAATGGAGAGTTTGGGAAATGGTAAACAGGTGGATAAATATAAAAGATTATTTTCCCCTTTATTTTAAAGTACAAATGACTGCTTAAAGCAAAAAAAAAAAAAATAGCATATTGCAGGATTTATAACATGTGGATGTGGTAAATCTGCCAACTCTAACATAAAGAACAGGCATTAGGGGTGTGTGTACTATACAGTTGCAAGGTGCATATGTTTTATGTAAAGTGTCACAGTATTAATTCTAAGTAGACAATGAAAAGTCAATAGTGAAAAGTGATTCCTAGAACAGCCATAAAAATATAATGCAAAAGGTTAGCCAAAAAGTAGGTAAGTGGAGATGAGTTTCTTAAAAAAAAAAAAAAAAAAAAAAAAATCCTCTCTCTAGGCAGGACTTTTTCTGCAGAACAGAGGAATAAAAAGCAGAGGTGACAAACAGAAAGCAAACAGTAAAACAGAAGCCCCAAATTCAACCATATCAATAATTACATCTACAGGTTAATAGACAAAAGACTTCTGCTATTGTTTGGACGTGGTTTGTCCCTGCCAAAATTCATGTTGAAATTTGATTCCCAATGTGGTGGTGCTGAGAGATGAGGCCTAATAGGAGGTGTTTGGGCCATGGGGTGGAGCTCTCATGAATAGATTCATTCTGTCTCTCTGGAATGAGTTCTCATTCTTGCAGGACTGAATTCATTACTACAGAGCAGGTTGTTCTTCCTTGTGTTTGGTCTTTGTGCACATGCACACTTGCCTTTTCTGCTTTTCACCGTGAATTGAAGCAGCACAAGACCCTCACTAGGTAGGCTGCCCGATTTTGGACTTTCCAGCCTCCAGAATTGTGAGCCAAATAAACTTTTCTTACCCAGTCTCAGGTATTTTATTATATCAACACGAAACAGACTAAGACAACTCCAATTAAAGGACACAGATTGTCAGAATGGATTAAAAATCGGGACCTAACTGTATGCCTTCTAAACAAGACACATTTTTAAATAATGACACTAAAAGATTGAAAGTAATTAGATGTAAAGAAGCATAAGATGTAAGCAGTGAGCACAAGAACACCAGAGTAGCTATATCAACATGAGACAAAGCAAATTTAAAGACAAAGGGTATAACAAAAGGGGTGAAGTGGGCTTCAGCCTCCTGAAAGGTTCATCCAGTGATAGAGTGTCCTGTGTCCATATCATTCTGGTCAGCTTCTGCCAGACATTACATTTTAATTCAGCCAGTTTTCCTTTATGGAACTTCAAACAAAATGTGTAACTCCAAGCAGTGACAGATCACTGAAGGAAGGTTCCAACCTTGCTGGTCATGTTACAGTCACAGTGTTAGTGATTCTCAGGCTAGCCTGATAATAGCCATTCCCATGAGTCTGTTGGAAGGGAGGGAGCGATGAAGGGAGAAATCATTCTTCTCAGTGATAAATGGTTCATATATCATTTTTGTGTAATGATTTATTTTCAAAGTAAACTTGAAGTTTAGGGAATTCCTACCTGGAATTTTGCAATACTCATCCCACACATAAGCAGTTTTCTCTGAGACTATTTCATAATACAAGATAGAGAATAGTTATGAAGAATACTGTACTCCAAAAAATGCAAGAGAAAAGCAAGTGAACTTGCCATTGTGGCTTTTCTTTCTTCTTTAGCTGGAAAAGACAGAAAAGATGGTGTCCTGTCCCTTTCTCATTCATATACCAGCTCCTGGATGTGGGCTTGTGTTTCCTTAACCACAGGAACTTGGAGGGGGAGGAGCACCTGTGCAAACGGGCCCTGCAGCTGCCGTTCACCTTCACCACGGGGGAGGCCGTCCTGTATGAGAGCAGCCTCCCAAGCGCCCTGACTGCCCTCCCAGCCAGGAAGAGGACCAGGGCTAGGAAGGGTCTTCCAGCTGGGCAGGACTCTTCGTGCCCCGGATCTCTCCTTGGAGCCATGATGCAGCAAGATGAATCCGTGTACTTGTCCTGCATTGCTCCCACCCTCCAGGGCTCACCCTTCGAGAGGCAGGGGTCTGATAACAGATGTGAGGACAAGGAAGAGAAAGAGAAGGAGGAAGGCAGCTCCCTGCTGGCCCTCATCGAGAGCCTGCTGGAGAAGGACAAGGAAGAACAGCCTGACCTTTGCTCCACCCTCCAGCACCTGGCTGTCACCAATCTCAACCAGCGTCTGTGGGAAGAGAAGCTTCAAGGAGCTGACTCGGGCCCTGCAGGACCTCAGAACTGCCACCTGCCACCACCCAGCCAAGGAAGAAAACTCCACAGGGAGAAGGATACCCAGTTTTATGACCCTGGGAACGTGGGCTTGCCCCCACCAGCCAGCATGACTTCTCCACAGACCCTGAATCCACCATCTTCTCAGGGCTCAGCCCAGCTAGCCACAGAAGTAACTCCACCTCCAAACGTGGGCTTGGTGCCCAGCTACCCTCAAGCACATCCCCAGGATTGTCTCATCACTGGTCCTTCTATCCCTGGCCCCACACTCCAGAACCCCCTCCAGGGCCCCCCACAGTGGTGGCCTCGGCACAGCCAGGCAGTGCCTTCGAACTTTGAGATGTGTCAGAAGCCAACATTTGACCTCAGCCCACTGCCTCAGGCCTCCAGCCCAAGCCGGCCTGCTCAGGGTTTTCAGCCAAGCCACACACCTCTTCTCTCTTTAGGAGAAAATGTTCCTGGACACCTGGCTCCACCAGGCCCTGGTGTTCTGAATTTTTGCAAGGAATCTATGCCCTGGACCTCCATACACACTGGTCAGGGCCAGGGGTCCTTGATCCCCTCAGACCCCACTTTATGTGTCAACCCATGTGGTACCCACCGTTTGCGCAGCATTTGGGATTCCCCCATCCAGGGCCACCCAGTTGCAGTCCCCATGGAGGTGGTGGCAGAGCAGAAAGCAGGGCAGGCCCAGCCTGACCCCTTCAGCTGCCCATGGATGGTTGACCCCTGCCTTCCATGGACACGGCCACCCAGTCCCAGCTTGTACAGAGGTCAGCCCCTGTCTGTGCAGGGGGCACCTGGGACACCAGAGGAAAAATCTGGAGAAGGAGAGCATCCACCCCACTCTCTGGGGCCAAATCAGCTTTCCAGGAGTCCAGCCTGTCCTTCCCAAGTACTTCTGCCTGGATCCTCAGCCATGCGGGGCTCTTACACTGCAGACCCCAACCCAACCACCAAGCAGCAGCAGTGGGTGCAGGGGGTGCTGCAGAGCCAGGAGCACTGTGGGCAGGTGAGAGAAGGGGCGCCACGTGTCCATCACCAGGCTGGCCACCTGAGAGACGCCATTCCCCAGGCTCCTCAGCAGAACCCCTTCCCCTCTCCTGACTCTGCCAACAGCTCCCCACATTCAGGTGGCAGCCACTACAGCAGCCCAGCAGAGCTTATGAGACAAGTCAAAGACAGACCACAGGTGCCACCTAGCCTGGCCCAGCCTATCTGCCCCCTTGACCTGGCCTGGCCTCCCACGTCCATGCAGGGCAGCTATGACATTAGGCTCCGGGTGGGTGTTGGTACACAGGGTCTCAGAAAACCGGGACCAGCAGGGAAGGGCACCTCACCACACTGGTCAAGTACAGAGCTGCTGGCAAACGTGGACATGTCAGGGCCTTAGCCCAGAGAGACAGTACAAGGAGGGGCAATGGAGCTGGCCCAGCCTCGGCTTGGGATGCTGTGGGGTCCAGAGTGGGGACACAGAGAGATTTTGCAAAGGTAGCAGGTTACTGCCATGTGGGTCACGTGAAGCCAGTAGTGGTGGCAGCCACAGCCCCCTGGAGGGCCCCATTTGGTGTCTCCTGGGCCATTGCTGAGCAGCCTGGATGCTCCCCATAATGTAGCCTAGCTTTGGACCCCCAGAACTTGAATTAGTCATAGAGATTTGAATGTGGTCCTCTTGCAACTCCCTGCATGCACCACTTCCAACACCCCATGCAGAGACCGGCACTTCTCCTTTGCCTGGTGCTGCTGGGGATTGAGGCCCTCTGTAGGCATGAAGTCTTCAGGTGACTAACCTTCCCCCAGAAATGCAGCTTTGGATGGAAATCTCATGAGAGTGCTGCTCCTTCTCTCAGCTCCTGTCGTGGTTTCTGGGTGATGCCCTCAGGACTGAGCAGGGATGTATAGCTGTTTCCCTGAACCCTAAGTGGCCCCAAATAGCCACATCTTGGGTCCTCCCCCAACTTTGCTGGGTTTTCTGTCCCTTCTCATTGGACACTGCAACCCCTCACTTCTGCTTTCGGGGATCTCAGGCTGCCCATCTCTAGGGTCCCTGCTCACTTCTCTTCCCAGTGTTTTGTTTTCATCTGTTGTAGGTTAGAAAATCTGAAGACCAGATTTGATCAACTTTCCTGAAACCAAAATAAACAGATTCCTAATCAAAGCCTGAATAAGCAAGTATCAATTTTAGACCCCTCGAACTAACCCTCTTCTCTTTTCAGCAAATCTGTTCTTACTCAGTTTCCTGTTTTCCTAACAGCGGTGTTCCCAAAACGAAGGCCGCAAGATGGCACTGGGGGTTCCAGGCCCAACACAAAGACATTTTTCTCCCAGGTCTGACGTAAGATGATGTCGTGCTTTGCACGTCTACACAAGAGATTTGGGGCCTTAACTACTGACATTTTCCCTGAGATTAAAGTTTCTTAAACTCTCAGATTGTTGGGTGAATATTTAACTTATTTCTATGGGTATAATTACACATATTTGAAAGCTTAATCTCTGGATTCCAAAGATATACTTTTCGACTTCACTTAATTCAATGCATTTTATACTAAAGGAAATGCATACAGAATTCTCTTTGCTTAAAAAGTTATTCATGAACCCACAAAAATGTTCAAAGGAAAGGGACACGAGGAGCATGCACCAGCAGACATGCCCAGACGTTCACCTGGAAGAGGCCCCACAACCGTGGTGTCTGGTGACCATGTTTCCAAGCTGAGGGCTGAGGCTCAGCATCGAATAAGTGGGGGACCACACGGCCTCCTTTCTGCCAGGTAGAGGCCACTGGATGCCCAGTTCTCAGATCACCGTAGGGCACTGACCTGACGGTCGCAGACAGAGAAGGCAAGAGTGAGCCTTTGGCCTGGACACCTGAAAGGGGCTCATAATTCACTATCTGGACACAGGACAAGGGGCTGGTCTGCGGAGTCTGGGTGGTCTGCGGAGTCTGTGTGCAGGAAGGCGGTGTCTGAAGGAGGTGCAGGGATAGGGTTGATTGGAATATTTAGGCCACAGGAAGACGGTGTCCAGTCTGAAGGGGGTGCGGGGATGGGGTTGATTGGAACATTTAGGCCACAGGACACCTTGAAATGCAGGGTGTGTGGGGCCTCAGTCCCACTGCAGAGCAAAAGAAGAGAGCCTGGCGAGGCTCAGATAGCCACTGCTTCTCCTTCCATAAAGGGTTCAGAACAGCAAAGGCACTTCCATTTACTCCTGTGACTTAGAACCACAGAATTCATTGTTTAGGAGCTAAAATGAGCCCTGAATATCACCAGTAAGACCTCCTTAGTTAGCATGGGTCCACAGGCATGACCTGATGGCCAGGGACCATTTGTCCTGCTCACGACTGTCACCCAAAAACCAGACACACAGTAGGTGCTTCATGAATATTTGTTCTGTATGTGAACAAATGAATGAGGGAATGAATGGATGAGTGGACAAAGAAACCACAGAACTAAAGACCAGGAGGTCAAGGGACTCACCCAGTGCAGAGCCCAGGTGGGGACCCCTCTCGTCCACTGCTCGTTAGAGACCGTTGAGCTGCACACAGCAGGGGAAAGAAGAGGGAAGCCATTGTTGCCCATTTTTCAACAGAATTGTGGATTCCTGGGTGTTGATGATGTTGTTTTATGACAAGAAGTCTGTTATCTTGGACTCTTAAGCCAAAAAACACTGAGACATCAAACAAAGCCCTGCAACTTGACACAGAGGGGTGCAAATAAACACCGAAACAATGACCAGTACTCAGTCATGCTTTAACCTTCTCCCTCAAATGAAAAAAATGTCCCATTGTGAGGTAAGGTTAGATTTCTAATCTCACGTAGAATCTGAATGTGGGCAGCATTGTGCCCTAACAGGCAGAGGTCTAACTGGAGTGCTGTTTATGCTTTCCTCTGCCTTGCTCTTGTAATACCTAACCTTGTTTTTTACTAACTTTGTTTGTAGACTCTCCCTTTCTCCCTTAATCACCTAGCCTTGTTTCCACATGAATAAGCTCTCCCTTAGCTGAGAAAGCCGGAGGGACTAACTCCTTTTGGCTCTGTCATTCGCAAGGCTTCAGGGACTCCTTACCCACCCCCTTCCTCAAGGAGTTAACTTGTGTAAGCTGACTCCACATTTCAGAATCCAATTAACTGATAAGGTACTGAAGCAAGCAAGGTGGGAAGTTCCCTGATTTTACTCAAGAGATAACAATAAAACCTTGAGTTTGTGTCTGGCAGAGCCCACATATATAACGTCTTATGAAAGATTTAGAGCCCCTGCACCTGGAAACTTTGTTTCTCTGTAACCATTTGTCTTTTTAACTTTTTTTGCATGTTTTTACTTCTGTAGGATTGTTGCAACTGAGCTCCGCCTCCCCTTCCTAACCCCAAGTATAAAAGAAAATCAAGCCCCTTCCTCCAGGCGGAGAGAATTTCAAGCGTTAGCCGTCTCTCTGTCGCCAGCTAATAAAGGACTTTTAAATTTGTCTCAAGGTGTGGCGTTTCTCTAACTCGCTCGGGTACAGCACTCTCTGTCCAAAAAAATCAGTTTAATCACAGAACAGTGCGTGTGCCTGAACACTGTGAAGTCAGTCTTAGTGTGAAAAGCTGTCCTATGGTATTTTTTATGTGGTCACAAGCTTTATGAAACTGCTCAAAAACTTTCATGTGTAGTGAGGATTCATGACATGGATGTAACAATTAATACGTACATGTCATTTCTCTGTGCTGTTCGGTTACTGCCATGAACCATGATAAAACACGGAGAGTCCACCCACAGCTCTTCCAATAGGTCCGCCGTTTCATATCGCTGAGTAACAAACCACGCCCAGAACTTGGTGGATTAAAGCGTCGGTCATCCATTTGTTCATCACGCTGCAATATGGGCTTGGCTCAGCTGGTGGTTCTGCTGGGCTCACCAAAGTCATTCACGTGACTGTGGTCACTTAGCACCTCAGCTGGGGCTAGGGGGTCCGAGATGGCCTTACTCACATGTCTAGCAGTTAGCCTGGTGTCAGCGGGGGACCCTTGGTTATCTCGCTTGTGGCTTCTGCAGACAGAGATCCAGGATTTCTTGTCTGCAGCATGTTCCAAGAAGGCAAGCCCAGTGTACACGTTCTTATCAGGCCTCTGTTTGGGCAGACGTGCTGACCCCCATTGGCCAAGCCAAGTCTCAGGGCTAAGCACTGACTCAAAGTGGAGAGCGGTGCACAGGGTCATAAATACTGGGAGGTGAGCTTCATGAGGACCCACTAGCAGCTTTCCTTCGCAGCCGCACAGCAGTCTCCAGGCTACCAGGTGAGTGGTGCCCATCACACACATTTGAATGTGAGCTATAGTGTTGTAACCAAGCGAGTTACAGAGAAATGCCACACTTTGACACTGATTCAGGAGTCCTTTATTAGCCGGCGACCGAGAGACGACTAGCGCTCAAAATTCTCTCGGCCCCGAAGAAGGGGCTAGATTTTCCTTTATACTTCGGTTTAGAGAGGAAAAGGGGAGCCTAGCTGTACCAATCTTACAGAAGTAAAACAGGCAAAAAGAAAAAAAAAGTTAAAAAGACAAACGGCTACAGGAAAACAAACAGTTCCAGGTGCAGGGGCTTTAAATCCATCACAGGGTGATAGGTGCGAGGGCTTTGGGTGCTACGTCCCGGACACAGACGCGGGGACTTAGGGTACTACCACCCAGGCGAATTCCTGGGAACTGCGGACATAGCTTGCCATGTACCTTATCGGTTAATTGCACTCTGATGTGCTGGGAGTCAGCTTGTACGTCCTTGAGGAAGCGGATGAGTGAGGAGCCCTTGATGTCTTGCAAATGGAGTCCGTCCCGCTGTCTCAGCTCAGGGAGAGTCGATTCACAGGAAAACAAGGTTGGGTATTACATTAGGAACCAGGCTACAAGGGTCCACTTAACTCATGGTGTGGCAGGGCTAACCCTTGAGGACAGGGGCTCCTGGAGCACGAGACGGGTGGGGAGAGAAGCTTCTGTCTCATCTCCAGACACAGGGTGGTCCTCAGGAGAAACTTCACCTGGGCTTAGCTGAGCTGTGGGGCCCTCCCCTGTACACCTCCTGTCTCCTTTGCCTCTCCCTTTCTTCAGAGCACAGGTCCCTCCTGCTGCCACAGCCATGACCACAGCCTCGCCCAGGCCCCTCACTGTGTCTGGCTGAGAAATCAGGAGAGAAGACAGTAGGTGTGTTTGGGTGAAGGAAAAGGGACAAGATGGAGGAAGGTGAAGAAGATGGAGCAGTCCCTGTTGTTTCCGGGTTCTTCATCACAGATTTTCCCGCGCCCGGGAAAAGAACCAAATCAACTGAGCATGCGCAGAATGACGTCAAGTCGGGGACACCGAAATTCAAGAAGCCACTGCTACACACACGCCCCGAACTCCTCCCCTTCCAGTACCAATGCAT